TCTTTACATGCGAAAGTCAATTTTATTCAATCTCGCCTGCGTAGTGAATACAGCAGTTTCTACCACCTTCTCCCATAAATATAAAATTCTGACTTTATATAGTCGAACTAATCTGCATATCACGGTTTCTTATTGAGAGGGATGGCTGTGAATTAAACGCGAATGCTAATCCATAGATTCCCCAAGAGGATTAGTGATAGGACGCGTAAAGATCCTTCACAGGTTAATTAGCTGAAAATGAAATCAGTATAGTAAATGATTATTATATATTTCAGAATTTAAATATATTTTTTAAGAAAAACTATTGTATAAACTGATTTTTAATTTTTTTTATTTTTAAAACTATTTTTAAAAATGCTCCTTGCGCATTAGTTTTTGGGATATGTACATAAATTTGTTTTATGTATAGAGATGAATTGCAACATAATATATCTCTGTGCATGGATTTTAAATTCAGAATATAATTTGATGAAAAATAGGTACATTTTCTATACTATATGAAATATTTCACAAATTATCATCCATTCAAGGTATTTAAAACAACACAAAATAAGATCTGTTACATATTTTAAAAAACTAATGCACGCATTTATGAATTATATCATCTTTCATAAGTTCTGAAAATTTAAAAGAGATAGGATGCAATTTGAAATCCAAGGAGCATTTTACGTAACAATGAAAAGAGAAAACTTACGAACTATGAAAAGGGCGTTTTAAACATTTACTTGAGTAAAATAAAAAAAAAATCAGTAATTATTAATCAAAATGACAAAATTCTTTGACAGAATTATATTCTCTGAAATATAAGGAATATTATTATTATACAAAATCACACACAATCGCAATTTTGACCTAAATTTGACATTGTAAAGGTCTTCCCCCCCCTTTAATTAGTTTTATATTATACATATATATCTATTGTAAGGTTTAACCCTTAAAATCTTATTTTTGCCGATTGTCTACTTTACACTTCCACTTACATTTTTAAAAAAACCTGAATGTTTTAATACCCGAAGCCACACTTAAAGTATGTAAGTTATATTTCTTTGACGTTTGAATGTAAAGGATGATCAAGTTAAGTGTGTTACTTAGAGAAATATTTTCTATTTTCAAGTTTACTATAAAGAAGGGATTTATCAATTTGAAAAAACAACAACAAGTAATATAAAAAAAAATTAGTCAATTTCTACTTAGATCAACAAAGAAAATTTTTATTTTAGGTACTTTTTTATTAAATAGTTACAATTATATAATATAAATATGTATATACATATGGCAGAGTCACAACATTAGGTGGTGATTATTTTTTATTAATTATCATTAAAGTATCGTATTGTCCTCCAAAACAATCGTGTATATAAAATTTCAGTTCAACTGAATGCTTTAAAACGTGAGAAAAAAAAACCTTTTCAGCAACCTTTGACACAAGTCGCCAAAATAAATGGTCGCTAAAAATGATGCCAACGTGGTAGTATTTGTAATTCTTTAAATAATTAGTTTTAATCAATTAAATTTATTAATTATAATTAAATACTGTATTGTCATCTAAAACAATACTGTATATAAAATTTCAGCTCAATTGAGCGCTTTAAAATGTACATTATTAACGATTGAAAATTCCTCGAAGATAAATAAATAGGTAAATATATAAAGAGTGTGAGTTAGTAGTAGGAATTGAATTACTTCTCATATTTTGTAAGGTAATTTATCAATATTTGATTATCAATGTGTCAGGTGTTGCGTTTGAAAGTTTTATTGGATATATGCCAGAGTTTTTTCGAAAATATACTGTATGTTGCCAAATTTCTACACATGCAACCTTTTTCGAAATAAATACTCAATATTATTACGCAGATTTTTTAATCTATGTTTTACGTAAACTATGGCTACATTTCTAGAGAAAACGTTTTCTTTTAAACAAAGTGAAAAATCGTGCATTTAAGGGCAAAAAAACATAAAAACCTACCGTAAAATGCGGCGTATAACGCGCACTTTTAACACAAAAAATGAAATCGAAATTTACGGATACGCGTTATACGCTGGGTATAAAAATGATTGTTTCAAAAATAAAAAGAAAAGATATGAGCATAAGAAAGATTAAACTTCTACACAGATCGGAATACTATGTATTTGAAAAAAAAATGACATGCCTAATGAAGTTAAATGGTTCTGATTATAATAATATACTATTTTTTTTTCAAAATCCTGCGATAATAACTCGAATAAATGATTCAAAAACATACGATCATTGTACATGCACTCTTTTGGTGTCTTTGTAAAACAGGGGGTGCGTGTTATACACCGATGCGCGCGCTATATGTCGGATTTTACGGTATTTGATTCTGAAAAACATTTTGAGTTTGTGCTCCTTTTTTTTTCAATATCAATTTAAGTCACTTGTAAAATCCTTTGTTTACATATTGGTTTTTATTTATGTTTTTTTAAAATTTTTATTTACATTTTTATTTATGTTATGTTTTTTATTTGTCTTTATTTTCAAAAAATAATTTTCTAATATCAGATCACTGTTATTCCAAAGGAAATAGATAAGGATTGGAGGGGGGCAGCTATATTCCAATATTCCAATCCTTATTCATGAGTTAATTACATAAAAGAGGAAAAAAAAACACTTTAAAAAATGTTTTTATTTTAATTCTTTCTTACTGAGGTTGGTAACTTTTTTATTTTGCTATAGCAAAACATTTTCCTGCGATAGAACTTCTTATTTTCATGTTTTAATTATTTCTTTTTGAATCAAAAAGCTTTAAAAAAATATAAGGTATGTAGATGCAATTTGCCGAGTTAAAAATTGTAAAATTTAGTCAAAATATATAAATTAAGTAACTTTTTTTAAAAAATCTGTATATGTTTTACATTTGTTCCATCGTATTTCGTCATTAATTTATTAATAATCCTTTCGACAGATCCAAAATCTCTTTGCAATACATAATTTTAAATTTTTCTGGACAATTAATTCTGTAAATAAAATGTTTCTCAAAATAAATAAAAGTATGAAATGTTCAGTTTTTCACAAAATCACTGCCATATATTTCCGAATATAAGCCGACCCAAGCATAAGCTAAGAAAGCGGTTTTTATTCAAACGTTTATCCGATATTCGAAGCCCGCATGTAAACCGAATTGAAAAAAGTTCCTGCTATTTTTAAACATGTCTTCATGTGGGCGAAAAAATTGCCCAGCGGGTAGAACCTGCGGATTATATTTAATTTAAATTGATGTAAAGCAGGGGTGGGCATTAAGTCGATCACGATCTACCAGTGTACCGCAAAGGCATTTAGGAGTGATCGCCTTTAATAAGACCTAAGGAGCATACTGAAAAAAAATATTTAAGGAACAACTACGGCAATTAGACAAAAAAAAGGGGGGTCTACAATGCAGACCTTTCTTTAGCACATCACACCTACGCCACTGGGTATACCACAGCACCTTGAAAGAATTAGAACTATCTGGTACCCTAGAAAAGTCTGCCCTTTCTTACTGTAAAGTATAAAGCCAACAACGATAATTTTATTTCTGGTAATCCTGTCTGAAGCCAACGCAGTTTGTAACATTTATTTATTTTTCTTGTGCTAATTCTACTTTGGAAAATGAGCAAGAAAAGGAATTCGTATACTGCACGTTATCGTCGACCTATTTTTAATGCGTTGGTGATAAAACTGTCTGCATGATGATCTAGACATACATGTGAATTTCACGAATTATTTGAAAACTTGGCTTTTGACACTAACTTTGAAGGATTTATATGAAACTTTTTTTTTTCTTTTAAAATAAAAGTTCTATTCAGTACACTCAAAAAGTTCAAAGATGAAAATCGCTAGCGCATAGCTAACGGAAAATGTTAAAAACAAATTTTTTTAAACTATATTTTTACTTAGATTAGTGGATCCGTATATAATCTAGTCCCTTTCTCCCTTATTTTCACTTTAAATAAGTTCCGGAGTTTCTCAACTTATACACCAGAAACATACGGTGTACGTTTTCAAACTTAATTTACAAGAATCTTCTAATTTTTTTTTCAAATGTTATTTAATTCGCAGAAGGTAAGATGACTTAGCACATGTTCTTGAAAAGTGTTGAAAATATCAAAAATTAACAAAATGAATTTTTCAAAAAACAAAGATCATAGAACAAATGAATTACGTTTATCTATGCATTTAAAGAGAAAATCTCAGTATTCTTACTGTCTCAGTTAAGTCGATGATGAATGAGAGATTAATCCTAAGCTTAATCTTCTGACTTGAGTTTATGACACGAGAAAAGTTAAGATTATTAAGTGAAGCGGGGTAAATGATGTAGTTAAGCTCATATAATTTAGTTAAGATATGCGCGGGTGTCTAAGGAGAATCTAAATGTGAGGGAGGATACTAGATTTTCCGAACATAAATTCAAGTAATGTTTAAATGTTAGCTTGTACTTTGAATTTAATTAGATCTTTCCATTATATTTAATGGAATAATTTGGAATGGTCTTTTTTTTCATCACTGGGTTTCATATTTTATTATGTAGTGGAAAAAATAATCTCAAACAGCTTATTATTTATGTAATTATTTTATTTTAATTTTAACTTTTTGAACTGAAAAGCATAATAAATGCAGGTTAAAGATATGTCCGTTTGTGTATTTAAATTGGGCAATTCTTTTTGTGAAGCTTTAAAAGGGCTTTTTCTTTTTCAGATGAATTTTTAGGATTTTTTAAATATTTAAAGTTTTATTTATTCCCTTTTTTCAATTCCTACTATTAGTTCACTCTCTCCCTATATATATAGATATATGTATATCTTCAAGTTTTCATTCGTCAATAAAATACTTTCTATTCATCCATTCAAGTTCAAATACATTTTTAAAGCTTGTAGCCGATGACATTTGATGTTCATACAGTTTTTTCAAATATTAATGCATTAATTAAATTAAAAAATGAATAAATATTAACAAACAAAAATAATAGTCCAACAACATTTATAGAAAAAAAATCGTTCGTTGTGTCCCTGGGGCGCAATGAATAGCGGGTTGGACATCTAATCCAAAAGTCGTGGGTTCGACTCCCACCTGGGATGACCTAATTTCTGAGAATGTTATTTCTTTTTTACTATACTATTTTATTAGAATAATTACATTTGATTAATGAATAAATTGTACCCGACGAACAAAAAAATAGTCCAACACCATATATAGAACAGAAAATGGAAAATTGCAAGGAAAATCATTCTTTTTTTTTTTGCCACTTAATCTTGTGATTCTGTCGTATGTATATACATATTTACATTAATTGTAACTATTTAATAAAAAAAAAATTACTAAAATTAAATTTTTCTTTGTTGACCTAAGTAGGAATTGGCTGAATTTTTTTTATGTACTTGTTTAAGTTTAATCAACTAATAATTAAGTCGGTTAGAGTCAATATTACTTGAGTTGAAAATAATATTTCTGATATTATTTCATAAGGTATCCGACTACGTTCGGAACCGTGATTTTGCAAAAGCGCATAAATGGATAATTTTCATGATATTTAGTGTCACTTAGATTAGAATATATTCATAAAATTGTTTAAGGACATTTTGACAAAAATAATTTATTTAAATACAATATTTTGGCAAAAAAATTAACTTAGAATAATCTTTTTTCCAAATGTTCTCCTTTTGTGAAAAACGCTTCTATTATAATAATATTTTGCCTGTATTTTTCTCAGACCTTTCTACAGTGACTCAACTAGAATTTTTAAAATATATAACTTAGAAGTAGGTTTATTCATATTTTACGACAACTGAGGCAAGCAATTTTAAGAAAAAAACGCCAATAGTTATTTCAATTGGTGGTAACTCTGAAAATAATGTGAATTTATCAAAAATTCTTGTGGAGCCTCTGTAGAGAAGTCTGAGCTATGTACAGGCAATATATTATTATAATAGAACCCTTTTTCACGAAAGGAGAACATTTGGAAAAAAGATTATTCTAAGTTTATTTTTTTGCCAAAATATTGTATTTAAATAAATTATTTTTGTCAAAATGTCCTTAAAACAATTTTATGCATGTATTCTAATCTAAGTGACACTAAATATCATGAAAATTATCCATTTATGCGCTATTTTAAAATCACGGTTCCGAACGTATTCGGATACCTTAGAGGGTAATAAGCTAGGTTTGGTAAACTATCACGTGGAAAAAATAGACGTAACAATATTTTAGCTAGCTGCTGAAAGTAATACTGTATTTATTCGAATCGAAGCCACTATTAATTCTAAGCCACACTCCAAATTCTCAACACGTTTTTGTGAAAAAATAGTATAAAAAGGATTGTCCATGTGTGATAATTTTTTTAGGAATATATATATATATATATATAAGTAATTATAACTAAATTGAGAACTAAAAAAAGTGAATAATTAATTTACTTAAAACAAACCCAGTGGCTTAACAGCCCACGAGGGTCAAGACTTACTGTGCCCATCTGAGTTTTCATGACCTTGGAAACAGAGGTACAAGATAATTATTTTCGGCCGTATGGGCAGTCTGACACGAAACCCACAGTGTTCAATTCCCAAGCAAGTTTGGTATTCTTTTATCGATCCACTGAAGGAATGAAAGGCTGAGTCGACCTTTCCCATCTCGGGGTGTGAACTCCTGGCCTGCATCGGGGAAGCGCGATATGCTACCACTCAACCACTCTGGACATTTATTAATTTATTTTACCCGAATTAAAATCTTTTAAATACATGCATGAACCTGTTATTGCTCCATACATCAGTATCATGTTCAATTTCTCTCATTCAATGAATTTTTCCGTCTTTGGTTCTCAGCCGCGAGCCCGATTTTCTATATCATTTTTAATATTGCGAAAAAAGTACGGCTTAGATTCGAATACATACGGTAGCTGTACCGGGAATCAGTGTTTATAAATATCGCGTTATAAAGCAACATGCAGGCTATTGGTGAAAGGACCTCGTTTTGTTGAACCACACTTAAGTGCCGAGGACAACACCTGAGCTGCTATCCCCCTTCTCCAAACGATGACACCAACGAGATAACTTTAAGCCCCGACCAATTTAACCTGGTCTGTATATATATATATATATATATATATATATATATATATATATATATATATATATATATATATATATTCTGAGGATCTTCGATGGCACCAGGGCTCGAACTCATGACACCCCGAATACGAGTTTGTGACCATTATCATTAGGCATCCTCGGACACTGTTAGAAGCATCATCTTTTGAATAAACAATTCGGTAAGTTAATTTTTCTAAAGATATATTCTGTTATTTTTTGTTACATTCCCAATTTTAACTATACTATTAATCTTTACATGAGAATAAAACGGGACTTTAAAGTGATTTATGAATTATTAATAATACATTATAAGTAGTATAATTTAAAACTGACTTAAAATAATTCCTTTGAAAATATAATCAATGTAAAATATTGGTACAAAATACATTTTGTTCAATTAATCAATATTTGTTCGCACGTGCGTACGTACTCTTAGCGTAGAATTCTTGTATGTTGTTAAACTTATGGAAGAGAATTCTAAAAAAAAATATGTTACAAATTAGCACAAGGATTTCTAGATTTAAATCATCTTCCACTTGTATGTGTGTGTGAATATTGTTTAAACTTATTTCTCCTATTGGAGTTCGTTCAAAAGAAAATTCAATAGAGGAATTAATGGAGCAAATTCAAAACTGATAATAGGTAAGGAAGTAAGTTTTGTGACCAATTCGTAGAATAAATGTGTTTTACCTCTTCCAAAATAGATAACCCTGTCTGTAGTGTGTCTGAAGTGGGAAATTAATTTATATAATTTTAACACTTCTAGCTTTGTAAAAACAATAAATTATGCTCCATATTCAACTGCATTTTATCATTTGGAAACGAAACATTACACTACTTGTACATGTTGTCTAAATTCATTTACAAAGTATTACAAATCTAATGCATCTAGTTAATATTTATTCTTCATAACACCAAGCAACTCTAACAACGACACATTTTCTATACGCTTATTTGCGAAACATTTCACTAATGGATGTAATTAAAAATTTTCTGATTTATATCCATTCACAAACTTTTGGGAGAGCCCAATTTAATGGAAGAACTAAAATAAAATGAAAACCCACTCATAAGAGTTCTCCCCTCATCTTCAAATTGAATAAAACTTCTAATACCATCAAATATATCATTCAAAACTTTGGTAAAAATAATCAAATCTAGATACCAACGTGATGCTTTCCGACAAGATCAATGAAAGAGAAGACGGGCACGGAGAACGATGGTTTCCAGACATCAATTCCCGGGGAATTTGAGAGGCCCGGAATAGGGGAAAATCCTCTCGGACAATGACGGAAGTCCCTCTTTTCCCTATCATTTGTTTTGTGAGGTCAGAGGCCATGGGAGAAGGCCCCTGTTGACTTGTTTGAAGGTTACTGATTCATCCCCCGCTGTTTGTGGATGTAGTCGTTTTGTAGGGGATTGTATTTTAAATGTGATTATGTTTTTGTGTAACAACGAGTTTCTGGATATTGATGCAATCTGCCGCTTTGGTAATCGAATCCATCAAAAATGTCCCTGGTAGATACCAATACCAATAGTTTGAAATTGTGGTGAAATACTTAAGGCTGTTTTCGCCAGAGTGTGAACTTGACGCGGAGCACGTTTTCGGACAGAAAAAATGCCTCAATTTTTATAAAAATTTGGGACATTGTAACTCAAGCATTTTTTTGTAATATAGTGTTTTTGAAATTTCAGAATATTTCATAAATAGCTAGTTTTTCATTTTAACATGTGAAGGGATGGCTAATTTACCATTACGCTATAGGAAAAAATAAAATGCAAAACACATTTTATGAAAGAAAAAAATGAGTCAACTCGGATAAAAATGAGTAGTATGATAAAATAAGTGATTCTCTACAGGATAGTGTAGCCAGAATATATATAATATTAATGTTTGAGTACTTTTATATCTGAAAAAAAAAATATTCCGAATTTTGCTCCTATTCTTTAACATTAGCCGAAGATAGCCTTAAGGTATCCGACTACTTGCGACAACTATTTTTTTTAGAAAAAATGGAGATATGGGGATTTTTTGTGTGTATGAGTTTGACTTATTTAGTATATTTTAAGGAAAAAATCCTAAAATTGAAAAAAGAAAAAAATGTTTAATTATTAAAGTGGGAAAAAAAAAACTGGTGAAAATGTACAAAGTCTCACACAAAATTACTAAGTCCACTGCCTGTAGCTTTCATATTGTCTCGAAGTGCAACATCAATAAACAAGCAATCAATCAATACGTAGTTACAATATAAATACAAGTACTTATCATTCATGAATGCCGTATTTTAAATATTTCTTAACCTTTATTGGACGGCCAATCGATATTTCAACGGAAAGGAAAAATTTCGTAAAAGTATGTATGCGTGAGCTTGATTCAAGAATGTTTCAAAAATTACACACTTAACTATTTTTTGAATACCATTGACCAATTGAACTCTATAAATGTAAATCACTTGACGAAACTGTTGGACGAGTAAGTGTATAATATTTTATCTTTATGCTTTACTTTCTGAACAACAGATATTCTAATTCCCAACAGGCGAACAGCTCGTTGTCGTTTTTATTTTTGTCCGACTACACATAATAGGGTCAATACTTGATAAAACAATAAATAAATAAATAATGAAGTTTTTTAAACGTCCCATTTTGAAAAACAGTTCCTCCTCTAAATTATCTGGTTCCTAAAGGTAATAACATAGTATATGTAGCAGCGCACAAATGTAGGCTTTATATTTTCATGTTCAATAACTTCTTTAAATGGAAATGTTTTCTCAATTATTAATTAGTTTTTGTTTTTAAAAACTGAAACATTCTTTTTTAATTTCCTTTTTTTATATTGTTAAGTTATTATTTCATAAATATTTCCTTGATTTTGTGTGTGATTCCTTATTGTCATTCGTTCTTAATTAAAATCATACTTTCACTACACACCTGTAAATGTGTAAACTACATTGAAAGTTTTCCTGTGTTTGATTTATAATAATTTTATTGAA